ATGAGACAGAACACATACTAATGACACAGAACGCATAACAATGACACAGAACACAAAACATTGACACAGAACAAAATGACACAGAACACATACTAATGACACAACACATACTAATGACACAGAACAGGTAACAATGACACAGAACAAATAATAATGACAAAGAACACATAACAATGACACAGAACACATAACAATGACACAGAACACATATTAATGACACGGAACAGGTAACAATGACACAGAAGAAATACTAATGACAAAGAACACATAAAAATGACACAGAACACATAACAATGACACAGAACAGGTAACAATGACACAAAACAAATACTAATGACAAAGAACACATAACAATGACACAGAACACATAACAATGACACAGAACACATACTAATGACACAGAACACATACTTATGACACAGAACACATACTAATGACACAGAACACATAACAGTGACACAGAACACATACTAATGACACAAAACACATAACAATGACACAGAACACATACTAATGAAACAGAACACGTACTAATGACACAGAACATGTAACAATGACACAGAACACATACTAATGACACAGAAGACATACTAATGACACAGAACACATTCTAATGACACAGAACACATAACACTGACTCAGAACTCAAAACAATGACACAGAACACAATAACACAGAACACATAACAATGACACAGAACACATAACAATGCCACAGAACACATCAAAAAGGCCCAAAACACGTAACAATGACACAGAACACATACTAATGACAAAGAACACATGCTAATGACACAGAACACATACTAATGACACAGAACACATAACACTGACTCAGAACTCAAAACAATGACACAGAACACAATAACACAGAACACATAACAATGACAAAAAACACATAACAATGACACAGAACACATAACAATGACACAGAACATGTAACAATGACACAGAACACATACTAATGACAAAGAACACATAATAATGACACAGAACACATAACAATGACACAGAATACATAGCAATGACACAGAACACAATGACATAGAACACATAACAATGACACAGAACACATACCAATGACACAGAACACATATTAATGACACGGAACAGGTAACAATGACACAGAACAAATACTAATGACAAAGAACACATAACAATGACACAGAACACATAACAATGACACAGAACAGGTAACAATGACACAGAACAAATACTAATGACAAAGAACACATAACAATGACACAGAACACATAACAATTACACAGAACACATACTAATGACACAGAACACATACTAATGACACAGAACACATAACAATGAGACAGAACACAAAACATTGACACAGATCAAAATGACACAGACACAACACATACTAATGACACAACACATACTAATGACACAGAACACATACTAATGACACAGAACACATACTAATGACACACAGAACACATAACAATGACACAGAACACATACATAACAATGACACAGACACACAGAACACATACTAATGACACAGAACACGTAACAATGACACAGAACACATACTAATGACAAAGAACACATAACACTGACACAGAACTCAAAACAATGACACAGAACACATACTAATGACACAACACATACTAATGACACAGAACACATACTAATGACACAGAACACATACTAATGACACAGAACACATAACACTGACACAGAACTCAAAACAATGACACAGAACACAATAACACAGAACACATAACAATGACACAGAACACATAACAATGACACAGAACACATACTAATGACAAAGAACACACACTTAAGACACAGAACCCATAACAATGACACAGATCACATACTAATGACACAGAACACATAACAATGACACAGAACACAGCAATGACACAGAACACATACTAATGACACAGAACACGTACTAATGACACAGAACACGTAACAATGACACAGAACACATACTAATGACAAAGAACACATAACACTGACACAGAACTCAAAACAATGACACAGAACACATACTAATGACACAACACATACTAATGACACAGAACACATACTAATGACACAGAACACATACTAATGACACAGAACACATAACACTGACACAGAACTCAAAACAATGACACAGAACACAATAACAAAGAACACATAACAATGACACAGAACACGTAACAATGACACAGAACACATACTAATGACAAAGAACACATAACAATGACACAGAACACATACTAATGACACAACACATACTAATGACACAGAACACATATTAATGACACAGAACACATACTAATGACATAGAACACATAACAATGACACATAACACATAACAATGACACAGAACACAGCAATGGCACAGAACACATACTAATGACACAGAACACGTACTAATGACACAGAACACGTAACAATGACACAACACATACTAATGACACAGAACACATACTAATGACACAAAACACATACTAATGACACAGAACACATAACAATGACACAGAATACATAGCAATGACACAGAACACAATGACATAGAACACATAACAATGACACAGAACACATACCAATGACACAGAACACATATTGATGACACGGAACAGGTAACAATGACACAGAACAAATACTAATGACAAAGAACACATAACAATGACACAGAACACATAACAATGACACAGAACAGGTAACAATGACACAGAACAAATACTAATGACAAAGAACACATAACAATGACACAGAACACATAACAATTACACAGAACACATACTAATGACACAGAACACATACTAATGACACAGAACACATAACAATGAGACAGAACACAAAACATTGACACAGATCAAAATGACACAGAACACATACTAATGACACAACACATACTAATGACACAGAACACATACTAATGACACAGAACACATACTAATGACACAGAACACGTAACAATGACACAGAACACATACTAATGACAAAGAACACACACTTAAGACACAGAACCCATAACAATGACACAGATCACATACTAATGACACAGAACACATAACAATGACACAGAACACAGCAATGACACAGAACACATACTAATGACACAGAACACGTACTAATGACACAGAACACGTAACAATGACACAGAACACATACTAATGACAAAGAACACATAACACTGACACAGAACTCAAAACAATGACACAGAACACATACTAATGACACAACACATACTAATGACACAGAACACATACTAATGACACAGAACACATACTAATGACACAGAACACATAACACTGACACAGAACTCAAAACAATGACACAGAACACAATAACACAGAACACATAACAATGACACAGAACACATAACAATGACACAGAACACATACTAATGACAAAGAACACACACTTAAGACACAGAACCCATAACAATGACACAGATCACATACTAATGACACAGAACACATAACAATGACACAGAACACAGCAATGACACAGAACACATACTAATGACACAGAACACGTACTAATGACACAGAACACGTAACAATGACACAGAACACATACTAATGACAAAGAACACATAACACTGACACAGAACTCAAAACAATGACACAGAACACATACTAATGACACAACACATACTAATGACACAGAACACATACTAATGACACAGAACACATACTAATGACACAGAACACATAACACTGACACAGAACTCAAAACAATGACACAGAACACAATAACACAGAACACATAACAATGACACAGAACACATAACAATGACACAGAACACGTAACAATGACACAGAACACATACTAATGACAAAGAACACATAACAATGACACAGAACACATACTAATGACACAACACATACTAATGACACAGAACACATATTAATGACACAGAACACATACTAATGACATAGAACACATAACAATGACACATAACACATAACAATGACACAGAACACAGCAATGGCACAGAACACATACTAATGACACAGAACACGTACTAATGACACAGAACACGTAACAATGACACAACACATACTAATGACACAGAACACATACTAATGACACAAAACACATACTAATGACACAGAACAGATAACACTGACACAGAACTCAAAGCAATGACACAGAACACAATAACACAGAACACATAACAATGACACAGAACACATAAGAATGACACAGAACACATACTAATGACACAACACATACTAATGACACAGAACACATATTAATGACACAGAACACATACTAATGACACAGAACACATGACAATGACGCAGAACACATAACATTGACACAGAACAAAATGACACAGAAGACATACTTATGACACAGAACACATACTAATGACACAGAACACATACTAATGACACAGAACACATAACATTGACACAGAACACATTGACACAGAACACATACTACTGACACAGAACACATACTAATGACACAGAACACGTACTAATGACACAGAACAGGTAACAATGACACAGAACACATAACACTGACACAGAACTCAAAACAATGACACAGAACACATACTAATGACACAGAACACATAACAATGACACAGAACACATAACATTGACACAGAACACAATGCCACAGAACACATAACAATGACACAGAACACATACTAATGACACAGAACACGTACTAATGACACAGAACACGTAACAATGACACAGAACACATAATACTGACACAGAACTCAAAACAATGACACAGAACACATACTAATGACACAGAACACATAACAATGACACAGAATATTTTTTTAGGTAAACTATTATTTTAGATGCCAAGCCTTGCTATTTTTTCCCACAATCATTGCTGTTTCTTTAACTCTATATAATTTACCTATCTATACATATGTGTGTCAGTTTTTTGGTGTTTATATCTATATATTAGATACATTTGTAGAACTTACAGTTTCTAGCTGGGATGCCTCGATGCTAAATATAACAGTGAAGTATTTAATGACAATAAATATTTTATTTCTGGTGACAGGTTACAATAACGTCCAGACAACTAGTGTCCCATTTCGCAGGAATCCGTCACTACCACACAAAAGCCAGTAAACCTAACACTGAGGAGGAGACAGAGGTAAATAGGAACAATAGTTACTGAAAGGATAAAGAAACGCAGGGTAATATTTATTCCGATATTTTAAAAACGCGTTCTCCAAATAAAGTGAAACTTTGTGGATTGAGTAATAAGGTCATATTACACCTTGTCATGTATCGAAAATTTAGTCATGGTACAGTGCACAGCTCTGGTAAATGGAGGAAGGAAAAAACAAGAATCTCGTGCACAGTGTTGTTCTGGTCTCACACAGCGTTAGTCAAGTCACTCTTCGTTAGTCTTTATACAGACCAACTGCTTCCCTGAAATTAATTGAGAATTTGATTCGTTTTAAGAATGGCACGACTCACAGAAGTTCAGAGGGGACAGGTCATTCAGATGATGATGCAAGGACAGCTGCAAAATCAGGTTGTTAGGCACTTTGGTATTAATGTTTCCACCATAGAACGTCTTGTAAAACGTCTTTGGGAAACTAGGCGATTGGCCGATCGACCTAGGTCAGGATGTCCGCGCGTAACGTCACGTCGTCAGGATCGATATATCGTTGTCTCTCATGTGTGTAATCGGTGCCTTACTGCCGTTGAGAGTGCACTTAATGTTCGTGGAAATCATGGGCATCCTATAAGTTCAAAAACTGTAAGGAATCGATTACGAAAAGTTGATGTAAGGGCACGTCGCCCCTACGTAGGTCCACACCTTACCCCTGCTTGACGTCAGCGTCGCATGCACATGCTCCACGACGCTTTCCACTGAGGCAGTGGAGACAAGTTTTCTTCACGGACGAGTCTCAATTCTGTCTTTATCGATCTGACGGCCGTCAATGTGTCTACCGACGTCGTGGCGAACATTTTACGGAAGCTTGTGTTGTAGAGAGGGATAGGTTTTGGGGTGGTTCAGTAATGGTGTGGGAAGGAATCTCACATGGGTTAAAATCACAATTGGTTGTTATTGATAGCAATTTAACAGCAGCTAAGTATAGAGATAAGATCCTCCGACCCCATGTTATTCCTTTCTTATAGCAGGATAATGCTAGGCCCCACGTAGCAAGGATTTACCAAGTCTTTCTGGCCAACAACAACATTCAACCACTAGATTAGCCGCCATATAGCCCTGATTTGTCCCCGATGGAGCATCTTTGGGACCAGTTGGATAGACAGGTTCGAAAGCACCAGCCGCCCCCTGCTACTCGAGAGCAGTTGACCAGAGCTCTGATTGAAGAGTGGGACAACATCCCCATAAGACGGATTAACGCTCTCATGAACAATATGACCAGAAGAATAAGGGCCGTGACCACAGCAAACGGCGGACACACAAGATATTGATGACTCAGTTCAATTTCAATTTCAAAATCCTATGGGTCCATTCAATTTAATCGTTAGTACCTCTAAACCAATTTTCAGATGCAAAATACAGACTTTGGTCAATTTTAAGCTTTAATTTATCTGTAAGTATACAAAATTGCGTTTTAAATGAAGCCCGATATCATACTTTATTTCTGGTTTAAAGTTCACCCAGCGTTTCTTTATCCTTTTAGTATAGATACTTAGTGTACATTATAGTACTACTCTGTAGAATCTCAAGTAATTTTGTAAAATGAAATGATATTGACCCATATTCAAGGTTGCAGGGTTAAAAGTCATTTTTTTGTTAAACTCCTGAGCCCGTATTCATGAAACCGTTCTCATGCTCAAACATGAATTTTGTGTTCGAGCCTTATGTCTTGTTTAAGTTAAGAATTAATAAATAAGGCTGATTTTTGCCGAAGATTTAAAAACAATTTTGAAAGGACTTCAAGTCAAAACTATATTCAAGGTTGAAATTTGACATTTGTATTATGTTATATGATTTCAGTGAATTATGAAAAAGTTTTCTTGAGCACAAAATTCCTGCTTGAGCATGAGAATGGTTTCATGAATACGGACCCTGAAGAACCGAAAGACCTGTGAATTATAGTGTTTGGCAGATACAGTTATAGGTGACTTGGATAAAGCTAGACAAAATTTTTGAAAAGAAGTTTCCTCGACTGATATTCAAAGTCAGTTAGATAAGATACTTCTCAATAACCATGAGGCAGAAAGTCATGATATTTGGCTAGTAGGTTCCTGGTATAAAGCCTTACAAAGTTAGGGAAGTAAATATCTGTGACCTCTTGTACAGGTTTTGATATCATTCCGTCCATCTGTGCATCCGTCTGTCTGAAACACCTTTGTCTCCGCTTCAAACCATTATAACTGGAGTGTAATAAATCATTGAAACTTTCTACGATTATTAACCACTACCGGAACACCTGTCATCAGAGACTTGCGTGTCCTTCAAAACTAATTGTTTTCAAACTCAAGGATTTTCATGTGAAAGCTAGATTTGCCTGTGAGTGCACCTGTCAGATATGTTTATATCTGCTTCATAACTTTGTACCCATTTGTAGAGGGTTGACACTTTGTATGGTTGCTAACCACTTTGAATTGTGTGCTTGATTTATGTTATGATTCAAAGGTCAAGATCTGAAACTGAGGACTTCATATTGTACCCTATGTAATGAACTACAGGGTGTTGTGTCCACTACATAACTTTGCAATCTGTCAATGAAAGGGCCTTAGAGACAGTTTTCATTTCAGACTAAAAAGACGATTAAATCTGACAAGAAAACTAATATGAAAGAGGCAGCGGTTCAGACACCAGAGAAATCGGAGTACTTCATAGCTGATCATTTCAAAAGTGTGATGGAGAGTCTTAATTTGTTCAAGGATGACCCTCTGGTACATGAACCAGGTATGTATGTGTTATAGTGATAGGTGATGATATGTAGTGATGTCTTTGATGGTAAATAGTGTATTGTGTATCAATAGCAAAAATTACTGACATACAAACCTACAGTTATATATATATATATATATATATATATATATATATTAAAGTCAAGTAAAACTGCTACATCATATTTTTTCATGGAGTTTAAATTTTCATGGAGTTTTGAAAACACATTTTTTTGGATGAATCTTTATCACAGATTCCTCCTAAATACTATAATCCATGTTAACTTTTATCTGTTTATCATTCTGTGAACATTGATTAAGAGTTTCCATAAATTCAACAAAAAAGTACAATATTTGAGTTATATGGCCCTTCTCTACACAGGGTTAGATAGTCTATCTAGTGTAGTGTAATATGATTTGGTGAAAAGAGATCAGGTTTGAAGGATGGAGCAGAATAAAATATCATGAATGTTTTCTGATTCACCATTATCAGATGGTGAGATGATCAAATCACCTTGGGTCCATGGTGTTTGTCCTTCTGTCCAGTAGATGTTTCTTTATACAATTCTTCCTGTGGTCACCAGCTTGAAAAAAACACTTCACATCAAGTTCTACTGATGCCACTGAAAGAGTGTTGTTTGTTGTAGCCTTAACTGCTGAAACATTAACATTGAAAAAATCATTTCAATTAACACTATTGCTGTAAGGCTAAGGGTCTCTTGTAGTCAGATGGTGTTAAGGCTCATGTATCTCTAGTAGTCAGATGGTGTTAAGGATCACTTGTCTCTAGTAGTCAGATGGTTTTAAGACTCACTTGTCTCTAGTAGTCAGATGGTGTTAAGGATCACTTGTCTCTTGTGGTCAGATGGTGTTAAGGCTCACTTGTCTCTAGTAGTCAGATGGTGTTAAGGCTCACTTGTCTCTAGTAGTCAGATGGTGTTAAGGATCACTTGTCTCTTGTGGTCAGATGGTGTTAAGGCTCACTTGTCTCTAGTAGTCAGATGGTGTTAAGACTCACTTGTCTCTAGTAGTCAGATGGTGTTAAGGATCACTTGTCTCTTGTGGTCAGATGGTGTTAAGGCTCACTTGTCTCTAGTAGTCAGATGGTGTTAAGGATCACTTGTCTCTTGTAGTCAGATGGTGTTAAGGATCACTTGTCTCTTGTGGTCAGATGGTGTTAAGGCTCACTTGTCTCTTGTGGTCAGATGGTGTTAAGGATCACTTGTCTCTTGTGGTCAGATGGTGTTAAGGATCACTTGTCTCTTGTAGTCAGATGGTGTTAAGGATCACTTGTCTCTTGTGGTCAGATGGTGTTAAGGCTCATGTATCTCTTGTGGTCAGATGGTGTTAAGGATCACTTGTCTCTTGTGGTCAGATGGTGTTAAGGCTCATGTATCTCTTGTGGTCAGATGGTGTTAAGGCTCATGTATCTCTTGTGGTCAGATGGTGTTAAGGATCACTTGTCTCTAGTAGTCAGATGGTGTTAAGGATCACTTGTCTCTTGTGGTCAGATGGTGTTAAGGCTCATGTATCTCTTGTGGTCAGATGGTGTTAAGGCTCATGTATCTCTTGTAGTCAGATGGTGTTAAGGCTCATGTATCTCTAGTAGTCAGATGGTGTTAAGTCTCACTTGTCTCTAGTAGTCAGATGGTGTTAAGGCTCATGTATCTCTTGTGGTCAGATGGTGTTAAGGCTCATGTATCTCTTGTGGTCAGATGGTGTTAAGGCTCACTTGTCTCTTGTGGTCAGATGGTGTTAAGGCTCATGTATCTCTTGTGGTCAGATGGTGTTAAGGCTCACTTGTCTCTTGTAGTCAGATGGTGTTAAGGATCACTTGTCTCTTGTGGTCAGATGGTGTTAAGGATCACTTGTCTCTAGTGGTCAGATGGTGTTAAGGATCACTTGTCTCTAGTAGTCAGATGGTGTTAAGGCTCATGTATCTCTTGTAGTCAGATGGTGTTAAGGCTCATGTATCTCTTGTGGTCAGATGGTGTTAAGGCTCATGTATCTCTTGTAGTCAGATGGTGTTAAGGCTCACTTGTCTCTAGTAGTCAGATGGTGTTAAGGCTCGTGTATCTCTTGTGGTCAGATGGTGTTAAGGATCACTTGTCTCTAGTGGTCAGATGGTGTTAAGGATCACTTGTCTCTTGTGGTCAGATGGTGTTAAGGCTCATGTATCTCTTGTAGTCAGATAGTGTTAAGGCTCACTTGTCTCTTGTGGTCAGATGGTGTTAAGGCTCATGTATCTCTTGTAGTCAGATGGTGTTAAGGCTCACTTGTCTCTTGTAGTCAGATGGTGTTAAGGCTCACTTGTCTCTTGTGGTCAGATGGTGTTAAGGCTCATTTATCTCTTGTGGTCAGATGGTGTTAAGGCTCACTTGTCTCTTGTGGTCAGATGGTGTTAAGGCTCACTTGTCTCTTGTGGTCAGATGGTGTTAAGGCTCATGTATCTCTAGTAGTCAGATGGTGTTAAGGCTCATGTATCTCTTGTGGTCAGATGGTGTTAAGGCTCATGTAATCTCTTGTAGTCAGATGGTGTTAAGGCTCATGTATCTCTAGTAGTCACATGGTGTTAAGGCTCACTTGTCTCTTGTAGTCAGATGGTGGTAAGGCTCATGTATCTCTTGTGGTCAGATGGTGTTAAGGCTCATGTATCTCTTGTAGTCAGATGGTGTTAAGGTTCACTTGTCTCTTGTAGTCAGATGGTGTTAAGGCTCACTTGTCTCTTGTGGTCAGATGGTGTTAAGGCTCATGTATCTCTAGTAGTCAGATGGTGTTAAGGCTCATGTATCTCTTGTGGTCAGATGGTTTTAAGGCTCATGTATCTCTTGTAGTCAGATGGTGTTAAGGCTCATGTATCTCTAGTAGTCAGATGGTGTTAAGGCTCACTTGTCTCTAGTAGTCAGATCTGATCTTGTGGTCAGATGGTGTTAAGGATCACTTGTCTCTTGTGGTCAGATGGTGTTAAGGCTCATGTATCTCTTGTAGTCAGATAGTGTTAAGGCTCACTTGTCTCTAGTAGTCAGATGGTGTTAAGGCTCATGTATCTCTTGTGGTCAGATGGTGTTAAGGATCACTTGTCTCTAGTAGTCAAATGGTGTTAAGGATCACTTGTCTCTTGTAGTCAGAGGGTGTTAAGGATCACTTGTCTCTTGTAGTCAGATGGTGTTAAGGATCACTTGTCTCTTGTGGTCAGATCGTGTTAAGGCTCATGTATCTCTAGTAGTCAGATGGTGTTAAGGCTCATGTATCTCTTGTAGTCAGATGGTGTTAAGGCTCATGTATCTCTAGTAGTCAGATGGTGTTAAGGATCACTTGTCTCTAGTAGTCAGATGGTGTTAAGGCTCGTGTATCTCTTGTGGTCAGATGGTGTTAAGGATCACTTGTCTCTTGTAGTCAGATGGTGTTAAGGCTCATGTATCTCTTGTAGTGGGATGACTATTCAGGCCCATGGGTCTGGTATAGTTAGATGGTGTTAAGACTTATGCCTTTCTTGTAGTTGGGTTATGTTAAGACTCGTGAATCTCTTTTACAAGAATATGTGAACAACATCCATGGTTACATTCTCAGTGGAATATTTCGGAATATTATGACTTCATTGACTGCCACTGTTCTGTGTGTTATTTTTTAATTGCTGATGAATGATGTAGGATAGACATTGAAACATTTCTTGATCCTTTTTATGCTTCCTTAAATTCTTGGGGTAGAAGAATAGTTGTTGCTTTGTTCATCCATCTCTCAAACAAAAATCATGCAAGGATTGTAAAATCTTAAACATTGGTCATAATTATTGAATGTGCAGTGTACCAAATTCAGGACCTTTGACCTATAGTCCTTTGTTAAAATTTTGTGTCTAGAGCACAACTTTAAATTGCTTGCATTTAATTTAGTGATAATGAAAGTTGGTATATACATAGATCATACTAAGACAATTTGCAGTGTACCAAATTAAGTGCTTTCAACCCTTCAATTACAGAGTTATTGCCCTTTGTTAAAAATTTCATGTCTGGAGCATAACTTTGCCGACAGTTAAGGAAGGATCATGAAACTAAGTGTATACATTGATCATACTATGACAATGTACTGTGTACCAAATTCAGGGCCCTCGATCCTCAATTACAGAGTTATTGAACATAATTGATCTTGTCCAGAGTATAACTTTGCTTGCAGTTAAGGTAGGATAATGAAACTTAATGTATATATTGATCATACTAAGACAATAGGCAATACATCCTTTTTAGGACCCAATATACCTTTAATTACAGAATCATTGCTCTTTGCTCAAATTTTGTGTTTTCGGAAAGCATTCATCTGTTTCAATGATACTTATTTTTATCATATGATAGTTGTTTCTCAGAATACACTCTCGTTTTTTCATCACTACATTGTAATATGTGATGCTGTCATAATAGGTTAGTATACACATTCCTAGACAGACAAGACATGGCTTAATTCATTGATGATTCCGAGGACATATGTAACAAAATGAGTAAAAAATGGGTTTAATGGTAATTTTGGAATGGTGTGTATCGTAGAGAGCAGCATCTTAGTTTAAAGTACATCAGGTCAAAAGTCAGTTAATGCTGGACCGAGGAAAAGATCCCGTGAGTGATAGATAGTGATGCACGCCTGATAACGGGCGGGGTGTGTACCCAAGTGGTGAAGCACCGTGGCAGAATATCGCCAGTATGATTGATCAGGACAGATAGATGCTTTCTTGTATGCCTCGCGCTGGCGAACACATTTGTAAGTAAACAAGATAAGAAACAATGTATAAGGTAGATCAAAGATGGGAAGTTGATAACGGGTACTTCTAGTCACACGTGCCTTCATAATTAGATGCTCCGGGGGCTGGGTTAATGTTGTCCAATTGGGACTAGGCTTAAATTAAGTATTTGGGTATTATTTATACAAAGATAATAGCCAGCAGAAGTGTAGTTGAGTCTGGGATCGAGTAGCTAGAGAGAGTTGGGAGTCGGACGTGGAGACGGGCAGAGTCCCGTATGGGACCTGCTCCGCGATGGAGCGGGTCCTGGCCATGTTGGCCCATGAAAATTTGTATGGAACTCTTTGATATGGACGGGCAGGTTTTTCGTTTTTGTCTGCCTTACACAGGTGTTTAGTTTTGGTGCCACGACATGATGCTGTATGTTGATTAGGAACTATCTTTTGTAATGGATACTAACGCGAAGTACTAACTATGGAAAACCACTATACGATGAAATAAAAGTTTCGGTCAACCCAAGTAAACACTGTGTTTAGTCATTGTGTTACACATAGTATTTCCTCTCAACAGAAGTATCTGTTTTCTTTTTATACAGGGTCTGAGTACCTGTACACAACCTATGGTTTTACTTTATTGAGTGCTGTGCTTGAGGCAGTTACTAAGAAACCATTTGAAAAATTGATGCAAGAATATTTCATTGAGATGGGAATGGAGAATACTTTTCTGGATGAGAACACACCTCTCATTTACAATAGAGGACGGTAAGATAATCACATCCATCTAGACATCTGGTACATGCAAAATGTTTCTAATTTCAAATTGAAATATTTCAAAGTTTTAAATCCTTGATTAAACAAACGTACATTATATAGAGTTTGAGTACAAATTGTATGAGCAAAGTATTAAAATTGACTGCCATTTAATATTTATGTATGACCATTTATGGAAGTGCTGATAATTCTTCTCATGTCTGTCTGTCGTGTCCCATTTAGAATAAATGTGATATCTTCAGAACCTCTCATCTGATCTGGTTCATATCTACCCCATAGTGTCATAACATCAATTTCTATGCCTTATCAAATATTATGATGGTTGAAGGTCAAGGTTAAAGGGTTAAAGGTAACATTTGGCAACTTCTGTAGATTTATCAAGCTATGTATACATGTCTTAAAGATGACTCTATTTTAATGTTTCAGACATTACATGAAGAACAAAAATGGACGTCTTATCAATACCCCTTATGTAGATTTGTCATATAAGTGGGCAGGGGGAGGTTTCCTTTCCAGTACACGTGACCTTGTTAAATTTGGTCACGTGATGCTGTACAGTTACCTACACAAGTCAGATAACGTAACTAAGCAACAGAGAGACACAAATCTGAAAGATGATTCTAACACAAGGAAGCAGAAATCTGAAGTTATTTCAATGCCAAACCAAACGAAAACAAAGACACCAGCTCCTGGATTTCTGAAAACAGAATCAGTGCAGTTGCTATGGAAACCTGTTGCCAAGACAAAATGTGCTTGGGATAAATTTGGATATTATGGGATGGGATGGGCTGTAGTGCCGGAAGGCGAAAACTGTGGTCACTGTCACCATAGCGACCACATTGTTTCACACACAGGAGGGGCTATAGGAGGGAGCAGTGTCTTGATAATCAAACCAAAGGACTGTGGTCATGATAACACCCCCCCTGGAGAGCTTCAAGGTGTTGTTGTTGCAATGATTGCCAACATGACTTCTGTTAGTTTATACAAAACAGCTGTCAAAGTGGCCAAATTATTTGAAGAAGCAAGTTCTTAGATAAACAGTTGGTGTAAAAGTTTTCTGAAAACGCAGCATCAGTTATCCCAGTTTTATTGAATTATTTCAATATGTCCTAATACTTACAATACCGATCAATGTATGAAACCCTAAAATCTTCTCCTAACACTTATCTTAATATCAAATAACAAGTGAATGTCACACAAGAACATCTGAATTAATGGTTTAATATCTCCTTGAAAATATCTTTCCTATATATAGATATCAAAAATACTTTAATGAATATCAGTTTTTAATTAATGGATATTGATAGTTCATTATTGGATATCAATACCTCCTTTATGAATATCAATAGTTTATTAATCAAGATAAAAAATTCATAAATGGTTGTTTACTTGAGGGCAAAAAAGGTCTGGTAAGGCTTATTAAATTTATTTCACTTAGTTAAATTAATTTTTAACTGAAGTGAAATAAAACATAATGTGAAAAGAAGTTTAATTACCTTAAGGCAAAAACAATTTCACTTAGGTGGAATAAAGTTTTTGCACATTTTACATTAAGAGGAAATAGGATTAAATGTTAAGATGGCTTGCCATAGAGTATGACCTCTCGTTAACTTAGTGTTACATGTATCTATTTGTATTCACAAGAGTGTAGATATATTACATATATTCAGTGATAATTTTATATCTTCTGTTAGGTATGAGTATCAAATGCAGTTTGTTGTAGATTGTGTACAATGTGTTATTTGTCTCATATTCTATGTGTGTATAATTGTACATCCGTTGTATGTAAGTGGAGTACTTGTCTGTGCTATGTGTGTTTTATATCATAAGTATTTAACGATAATTTCATGTTAATTAGATCATACAGTTAAATGGGAAAAAAACTATTCCAGTCTTTGTTTATGATTAATAAAATAATTGATAAAATAATATTTACACTGATACATATTTATGACCAGAAATTGACTACCCAATCACATGGGTCTTCCCTGTATACACCAGTTTCCTTTCCACATTACTACCCCAAGTGTGCTTTCATCTGAGCCAACAAGTGTGATCATTATAAGTTGAGAAAACTTGTTTAGTAATTTTTGTGAAATGAATAAAGGTTATTTCTAATATGATAGAAATATTGTTGAAATATATATATTCTACCATCTAGATCACAAAACATAAGTGTAACCTCATTGTCATTATGTACATTATGTCAAAGCTTTGCATGTTGCCTCAGATAGCACACACAATCGTTTGATGTTAATTATTCAGAAGATTATTATTTCTCGGAAGATTATCCAGTAAATAAGATTATCGGGAAGTAACTTATTTCTTGGATAAATAAACAAGTTTATAGCTTAAAATCATATCTGGAAATATATTTATTGTAGGGTTCTCAGATTTCATTTATGATCAATATGAATGCAATTTGACCAGTAACAGATAATTAATTGATCATGACATCTGTAATCTTTCAATCATTCAATGATTAAATAATTATGAATTAACCTATAGCTTGATTATTGGGTATGCATTATCCATTTTGTTATAGATATAAGTTATTTATTAATATTTAAAAAAAATATATATATTTGGAATATCCATAACTCATTTGTAATACATACACGTATAAGTTTTAAGATTTTGTATCTTTTTCTAGTTTTCTCATGTCAAAGCAATAAATTGTAAATGTGAAACACTTGTTTTAAAGGAGGTTCACAACTTACAGGTTAAAGAAATTTTCTGATTTTTTTCTACCAAGTCCACCAAAAGTCGAACCCTTAAGTATGAGGCTCAGTGTGACCAATCACTCGAGATTATATGCCATTCCATATTGACATATCACTTCCTTTATTTCCATACACATCGCACATAGCGAGACTTTGAATTTGAGTTTGAAATATGATTATGTTGACATGTTGGTATTATCTTGATGTTTAGGAAGTTCTCTAACTTATCATCTTTTGAAATAATTCCGTTTTAGTAACCTTGTTTGTTATAACATGAATACCCGTTATATCTATAGAGTTAACTCATAGTACCAAACGACTATTGATAAAAAACTAACGATACGATGTTTACAATTTATTTACAATTAAGACATACATTTCCAGCCAAGATTAATATTTGACTCTTCAAAACAATTATCAGTTAATACCTACTATTTTTCTAAGACTCTTGTGTGATAAGACACATATTTCCAGCCAAGATTGATATGTAATGCCCGTTATTTTTAAAGACACTTGTGTGATAAGACACACAATGGGAGCTTAGACACAAACATCACTAGTCGAACAGTGTCAAGGGGATTGATGTTATCACTGTTAAATATTACAATATATATTAAGAGTCTCAAAGCAAGATCGACAAATCAAAGTTTTGTTAAAGTCATTTGTCACTATGATAAAGGATATCTGGCTAACTTCGGTTTCGTTATCTTTGGTTAAATGTCAAGTCCGTGATATGTACACAATCTTCCTGGTCGTACGACAAACAATATCGGACTTCTGATCCTGTAGAGGGAGTATTTCAGCCATGTTTTTGACCGCGGTTTTTCTTACACTGGTCTGTTTTGGCTACACATACGGTAAGTTGTGTTATTAAATACTCACATAACACATACATGTACAATACATTGCATAGCAGTTATTTTCACGGGAATGATTGTCCCGCTATTTCGCGGTACATTAAAGTAGAGAGAATGAGATATGAAATTATTAGATGTCATTTTACATCCAGATCGCGAAATTTAGATTTGTTATTTTTATCATTTCAAAAGAAAATCAGAAACAAATTGATCCGTGAAAATGACCTGGTGTAACTACGTTCACTAGTCGTAGGTATATCTTATCAGATTTCAAAGAACCATTCGCACACAATAGAAATTTTAAAGCAGATTGCTATCAGGAGGTTGCCTACAGTTGAATGTTTTATCTAGAGACAAACTTAGATATCTCGAAGTCGGCGAGACCGTTTGAAAACTTTGAGTTTTAGGAGTATTCGATTTAAGTAAGTTATAATGTTTTGTGTGAAGTTTGGCCAGAATCGACAAAAATCTTCGAATTATACAGGGTTTTCGAGTTTGAGACAACGAGATTCGACTGAACCTGACCGATTAATCTAATTGAGCTCATTTAGAAGTTCTGCACCGAATTATGTTTAAGTTCGACGTTGATGTTTGCTGCCCTACAAATGACATCTTTATATAAGTAGTGATTTTGATAGTTTTGATAGTAGTTTTAATTTACACATGAACTTTTCCTACATGAACGGGCACCTGTCTCTAAACAAAAAATCCATCTTAACCAACGACATTGGTTCATTAGTTTTTGTATATGGTGTGTTCATTTCCAGGGAGATGTCCGGAATTCTATGTGCCCGTCGGAGAATTTTGTTTCTTTGTTAGTGAGATAAAGGGAAGCTGGGCGGAGGCAAATGTGAGTGAACAGTATTGATTTAATAGACAAAGAATATGTCAGTCTGAAATATACCTTAATATTGATTTGACAATTTGCATCATTAACAAGGTATATTAGCACCAACAATAGCCAGCGTATACTAAATATGCTTTTGTACATGTATCCTTTTACAATCGTTTGTAGTATTGCTACACCGTCACTTACTCTGTGAGCCTCTTGATTTTTACGCAAATATACGGGCATATATATATCATGATTCTAGGCCATTAATATCACTGACAAGTCCTACAATACCGAAATGGTTATGTTTTGTACTTCCATTCATGGTTGGTATGTATCTTATTCTAAATTGGAATAAACAGGTGTGATTTTACCTTAAGTTATATGATTAGGAGGCCTCTTCGACACTGTTCAGAGGAAAACTTTCAAGTTTCGATTATCGCCCTTTGAAGACCTTTTCTCTGATAATCGCTATATATTTCATTTTGCAGAGCTATTGCCGAACCTTTAATGCTGCACTAGCTGAACCTAAAACCGATGCGAGTCAAGCAGCGATGACAACTGCCCTTAAGAACTTATCAGGTGTGATTATACAAGTTTATACACCAATTATTTTCTTTTTTTATCATTAGCTGCAATCATATACGTACACTTTATTTCTTTTACAACAATTGCAACTTACATTAATTACTCTTATTGACCCGAATATGAGCGCGCTAGGGGTCTTATAGTGGGAGGATACTGGAGTATACCGGGAAAACCCACGTGGTCGGGCAGGTGACCCTTACATTTTTACGGCCCTTTATGGTAATTATCAACAAATGTCATATATAATATAGGCTGCATCAGATATATGCTGTGGGAGGAATCTGGAGTATTCGTGAGAACCCATGTGATCGGGCAGGTGACTCCATATCTTTTCACGGCCGTTTCGGTAATCGAACCCCGGACGGCTAGTTGAAAGGCGAGTGCGCCAATACGAGGGCGTCAATACGCCACCCGACCGGCCTAATAATTTCAGTGAATGTTCCTGAAATTTGTGACGACTTGTTTTGTTTGCTAGGGTTACCGCTGTTTACAGTCAGGGGTCGTGTTGAGGTGATGAATCATTGTAACCTACTGATGGTTACCTCACTAAATAACATACCAGTGACCCGGGTCGTGGCGGTTCTTAGCTACCTGATCAACTGCAATGGGTAGGGTACTGTGCACCTCGAACCAACCCATGGGCTTATATAGGCCATGGCTCTTACCTTACTTTTAATACTAACCCAGGGAAGTTACAATACCAAACACAGGGAAGTTACAATACCAAACACAGGGAAGTTACAATACCAAACACAGGGAAGTTACAATACCAAACACAGGGAAGTTACAATACCAAACCAAGGAAACTACGAAATCCACCAAGAGGGATTCCCAACTGCAGAAAGGAACCGTAACTAAAACATTGCATATTTTTTATGATTGATATTAACAACCAGATCAATTAAATATTGCGAGCTTGTTTTTTGCAGTACCACGTATAGATGATCTGTTTTCCAGGACCGTGGGATCGAGAATATTTCGTCGGAGGAAGCGACTTTTTCCATGAAGCCCATTGGATTTGGTCCACAGAGTCAATTCCTATAACAGCCTCTCATTGGTATCCTGGTAACCCTAGCAACAGTGCTGTTGGAGAAGATTGCATGGCTGTGATGAAAACCGGCCAGTGGAATGACATTGCATGTGACACAAAGTTGCAGTTTATTTGCGAGAGAGGGTAAGCATTTACGTGTGTTTGTGGTGAATAAGCATTTGTGAAAAAAGTCATCCA